TTCCTACTCCAGGTGGATTGCGTTTAGTCGGAACTCTCCACTATGTCCTGTCCGTCTTGGGTGTACATTTTGATATGTACTCATATCAAAATTCACTATTTTTCTCTCAAAAACAGAACAGAGCTGCAATATGTAATTGATCTACTGTGTAATCATATAACATGGCTACTCAGAACTAAGCTGCTACTCAACTTAGTAGATTTTCTTCTTGAAAACCTATAGGAAAGGGGTGTCTAAGTTATTGGTTATATCATAACTTTCTAGTGTTGACTGAGGCATGCAAGGTTGTGTGCGAGTGGGCTGTCATGTTATTACATGTGTGAACGTCCTTAAACATAATGAATGTTAATATATTTACTAGTAGTGATAATGTCTTGTTGGACTTTGATTGCTGGCCCTCCTGGATGACTAATTAAATGGTTATACTGTGGATTAGTTGATTATATTAGAATATTGGCACAGGATTAAGCATGTGCATGTTTCCAGAGATCTCTCTCCTGTTACACAGAGGGTGAGAATGCCTTCTTTTCTACATGTTAAAGGAGGACAGTGAGCACACATTTGGTTTTTTAACCAGCATAGGGAGTCAAGGTGAAAGATACTAAAAGAAGTTAGTGAGGCTGAACATTTCAAGTACCACCAAGCTGTAGCTTCTTCCTTCTCCATATTATCAAGATATGACTAAACCAAGAGAGCAGGGCATTTGTTGACAAAATTTAGAAAGGATGAATTTTTGAGTCTTCTGAAAGAACAAACAAAATAAAAGAGGAGGCTTGAAACTCCAGGGACAAAACTTCCATGGCTGAAAGCATATTAAGCTGTTGAGTGAGAGAGGCTACAGGGCAAGTAATAAAATAATATATTTAAACACACTTTCAACAGGAAGTATTGAGTAATAAAGCATTGAGTGTGATGATAACTTGTGTTCTCATATACTGTCACCTGAATAATAAAATAAGTTATCTTATTGTATACTGTGAGTGGGGAGAGCTCATGTGGCAGATGAAATGTCAGAGAAGGACTTGAAGAGACCTGGCTTCAAATCCTTGTTCAGCCATGGAAACTCAGTGAAAGGTGATAATGACAAAGCACTCCTTGAATCTCTTGCATATCTTGAAAAAACTTCCAGGAATCAGTATAAGTCAGAAATGACTTGACAACATGACAATAACAACATTATGTGAATCAAAAATATGTGATACACACCATTCCTTCTTATCATGATGACATCTGCAAGCGGGATCTGAAGGCCTTAGGAATGGACCTCAACAGATGGGAAACCCTGACATCTGAAGGTTCAGCCGGGAGGCAGGCGCTGCATCATGGCCTCTCCCAATTTGAAGAGACCCTTGTCCAGCAGGCCAAGGCAAAGAGGAAGTCACGAAATCAGCAAAATCAGGGAGCTGGATAGGGGACAGATTGGATTTGTCTTCACTGTGGAAGGGACTGTCACTCTCAAATTGGCTTCCTCAGCCACACTAAACACTGTTCCAAGTCCTCCATACAGAGTACGTTACCATAGTCTTTCGAGACTGAAGGATGCCTAATGAATGATAAATCATAATGATTGTGTGGCATCAAGTCAATTCTGACTTGTGGTGACACTTCCCAGGGTTTTCAAGGTAGAAAATATACAGAAGTGGTTCACCATTCCCTCCTCCTGAGGGCACCCAGGAACTCTGTACCTTGTCCATGGCTACACACGCCAGCTCTTCTCCCAGGAGGTACAGTGGGGAATTGAACTCCCAGCCCCTGGCCCTCCATCCTGATACTTAAACCACTGAGCTATCTAGCCAGCTGTACACTATAAAATGGCATCTAAATTGGTAGATTTAAATGTGCGAAACCCAGGTGATTGTATAGCTTTATGCCCAAATTATGTGAAAGATTGTTGTCATGTGAAATCAACTTATGTCTATCTTTCTTGTTAGCCATCAAAAGCAATCAGGACTGGTGAGCAGTCCTGTTTTCACACAACTTTTCTCAATTTGGGAGCTGCATATCATATTGATCCAACTGTTGCTGTGTACTGTATGTTCTATATTACAGTGTTATGTTTCTTTTACCTTACATCACACCTTAGGAATTTTCTACACTTCAAAATGACCTGAAAGTAATTGTAAATAAATAAATGAATAAATGAATAAGTAAATTCCTAAGCAAGGCACTGTCTCCACAGTCTAAGTTACCTCATAGGATTATTTTGAATGTAGGAATGTTTACAAATAACACCAACAAATAACTTATTTTGCTTATCTAAGATAATCTGTTTTTCTTTCAGACATTTAACAAATGTTAACTGACATACCTCATCTCACCAAAATGGTGGACACAGAAAGCCAGCTTTGTCTCCTTGTTCCTTTAAAAGAGGAGGATTTTGGCAGCCCTTTATCTGAAGACTTTTTGCAGGACATGGAGAGTATAAAGGAGTTATCACAGTCTATAAGTGGGGATAGTTCAGGAGCATTAAGCATAGCAGACTTCCAGTCATTGGGAAATGGACCTGGGTCAGATGGCTCAATCATTACAGGTGAGAACTCCATTTCTGGTAAGAGCTCTGAAAGTATTTCTTCAGATTTTTCCCCATTGTATATGGCAGCAACTTTGCATTTTGCCTTATAGCATTTTGTAGTTTTATGGATCTGGTATGCCATGCTGCTGAAATTGAACTTGGCAATGCAACTGGAATTTGAAATGCAAAGTACATGATAGACTAATGAGTAAGGCAATTTATATTGTTATATAAGAACTGTAGTTCTTATGGGTGAAGTTAGTGTATATGTTTACCATGTACATTAAAATTAAATGATTTCGGAACTCTTTGGCTATAGTTAGTTGTGCTTTCAGTTCTAAAACAGCTTTCTGGAAGTTGTTCCTTTAAAATACATATCTGCTATCAGTGGATACAACTTTGATTCTAGAATGGACTACACCCAGTGTTAGTCTAGCCTATACTAAATGCATTAGAATCAGTGTCGCTTACAGTAGTTGTGATGAACACATTTTGTTCATTTCAGTGGCCTTGCTTTAGATAGAACTAACACTGGATTCAGTACAGAAATAGTTGGAATTACTTCTGTGGTGCTAAATGAATTTTTTGAAAGCATAGCATAACAGGACCTACAAGTAAATTGTATTTGTACCCCATCTGGTGGATCACAGGCCTCCAGTGGGACCACCATCATTTTATTTTTCATTTACTTTGGACTTGTGAAAGTAGAGCCAGTGAGAGAGAAGAGTGACCAAAGGAAGGCAAAGGAGGAAAATCCTTTATATTTATAAGCTGTGTAGCAGAAGATATTTTAACTCATGTCTCTGTCTGATAAATTCTATGTGTGTACATATCCTGTTCTCTATTGGTATTTAAATATAATATAATATACCCCTGCCTCAATAATATTTAGTCAATTTGAAGGGGTGAAAATGGTGAATATGTAGTAAAACATTAACAGTCTTTAAGATGCCACCATGTTTTTGTCTTTTTTATTTGTTGTTTTTTGTTTGTTTAATTTTCTTTTTACCTATAATGCAGTAAAAAATGTAGATGAGTCCCATCATGTATGTTGAGATTAAAGCAATTTCCACAGTTTGGTCCTGGACCCAAAAAATAAAAAATAAAAACAAATCCAGAGATTCCTATTTCAAACCAATCTTCTCTTTCAAATTCACTTATTTTCCAAGTTGATATCAAGTTTCTTTTTGATAAGGTCTGGAATTCAGGTAGTTGGGTGATTAACTGCTACAAGTAAAACTGCAATATAGAGGATGGAACAGATATTTTGATATGCTTTGAGCATTAAAGTTAAACCAGTAACTTCAAATTGCAAAAAAAGAGAGGATTTTAGCTAAACATCAGGAAGAACTTCTGATGTTAAAGCTCCTTTAATGGCCAGATTCCTTTAATGGCAGAGTCTTCTACCACCAGTTCAAGTTTATTGTATTAGCTAAAAAGGGGATTTTAAGCAGAGGCTGGATGGTCACTCATTGAGAAAGCTATACTTACATTTTTTTTCCTATTAGCAGTAGACCTTCAAGATCCTTTCTAAATCTATAATTATCTCCTTGAAAATTTTCCCAGCAGTGCTTTCCTGTTTGTGGCTCTAGGCAGCCATGTTTCAAGACTTTTGCAGTGCTTTTCAAACCTCTGTTTTACAGAGGGGATTTTCAGGACTGGAGAAGGAATAAAGATATTGGCACACACAAATCCAGCTCCTTTCTTATGCTGTATGGTACTAGAGGGCTGCCAGCCAAAATCTGAGCATTTTGTAGCTATAGGAAGGGGATGGGGTCTCCAGTCCTAGTAGAGGTGGAAATGCATTCCTTTTCAACACTAAACTCTTCCTCTTCCAATATATACAATATGTGTTGTCAAGGCCTCTTTGTACCTCTTCTTTGTCAGCCTTTCATTTTCTTTATCAGCTTTCTTATTTGTCTGTGTTCAACTGACATAAGAACGTGATGCATCAGAGATATCACTCACCTGTTGATGTAATTGTAGACATACACAGACTGCTTTCTCCTGGTTTTTCTAGATTCTTTTTCTGCACCCCCACATCTGTGAACACAGCTGCGATTAATGTTCTATAAGCCCATAGATTCCTGACAGGCAGTTGTGGACGTATGTACACATATGTGTTAAATATCTCTTCACAAGTTTAGGTACTTCTTTATAGCTAGGCATTCTGACTACACGTAAGTCATTGTTTGTTTCTTTGTTTTGCTTCCATACTGCTGGCAGTGGACACTGAACCACCTATACTGGTTCTCAGAGAGAACAAGTAAGACATACTCCTGTTTATATTACTCCTTCCCATTCTGCCTCTCACCCATTTCTCCGTGCCATTCCCTGCCTGCTTCGCCCCCTGCAGCAGTCAGCTTTTGGTAGCAACTAAGCACACTTAGTCATCAGGCTGTGTCTTTTAGTCCGCCTGATTCCAGAAGGTAAATCTAAAAACACTGAACAGAATCCAATAGTATACTTCTGCTGGATCCCATTGATACTGCCAGTATCAGTGACCTACTCTCCCTGCTGCAGTGCCTCCCCCTTGTTCTATGAAACTTGGGACACCTATTGGAGCAGGGTTTTATTTATTTGTTTATTATTTTTTTGCACCATGTATGGCTGCAGCAGGAGGGGAGGGGAAACAAACCTTTCTTCCACTCATACTGGATACCAAAGTACACCATCAGATCTGGGTCATTTTGTACTTCGGCAAACATTGGAAATCTGCAAGGCTTCCTGATACTCTTACACAGATACCTCCACTTTGCATGTGTTTGGTGTCATTAAAGTACTTAAGGCCCAATAGTCAGAGAACTGAGCTCACTTTTGGTAGATGATGATAATAACAGTCTTTGCTAACGTTTTCTCTTGCCGCTTCTCCCCTTTATTTTCAGATTCTCTCTCACCAGCCTCAAGTCCTTCATCTGTGAATCTTGCCATAGCCCCAAGTAGCAAAGATGAACTACCTAATGCAACATTAAACATTGAATGTAGAATATGTGGAGATAAAGCTTCAGGCTACCATTATGGAGTTCATGCTTGTGAAGGTTGCAAGGTACCGTCAACAATATTAAATTTTAAACCATATTCCAGAACCTGGTGGTTTTGTAAAGAGTTATTGAGCAATAGAAAAAGTGAAAAGCAGAACAAATATTAAAAACAGATAGTAAGCCTCATTGGGAGGATCTTATTTATGAAAGTTAAGATTCCAACATGATTAGATAGAAATAAAGTGTGCTGAAGACAGTGTGTCTTAATCATGTGCCATTGAGTCAGTTCTGATTAATGATGAAACTTTATGGGGTTTTCTAGGTAGCGAGTACTCAGGAGTGGTTCACCATTCCTTTTTTCTCGGAGCGTCCTGGAACTCTGCTGCTTCCCCAAGGTGACATAGACCAGCTCTTCTGGGATGCACAGTGGAGAATTGAACTCCCAAACTCTAGCTCTGCAGCCCGATGCCTGTCTCACTGAGCTATCCAACCAGCCAGTGTGCTTTACTACCAAATAAATGTGCAGTTCCTAAAATTAGTCATTTTGCATGTAGCTTTTTGGAGTTGCTTACAACTCAAAAGTAAAATATCATGAAGATGAATGTGGAACCCCAGAGGAGAGACAGGAGGTGTTTTTAGGAGTGCCGTCGCTCCCCGCAGTTAATAGGGAGACTCAGACAACCCCACCACCCTCTCCTCCTAAGAAAGAACACCAGAGCACAGATACACAGGAATTGGAGGAGATCAACAGAAATAAAGGGTGGAAACATCAAGGGGTAGATACTTGGGATCTGACGCTGGTAAAGAGAGGGTTAAATGTAGCCACCCAGACAGATTGGGAAAGGGTGGGAAAGGAGCAACGGCCAGCGGTGGAGGCGGGAGTAGGGATATAAAAGGGGCCCGGGACGAAATCCCGGGTGGGTGGGAGATGATATGGGTTCAAGATCCCCGGACCAGTAAATGGGAGCAGGTCCAGGTGCCTCATGAAGAGGCTGAGAAGCGGAGAAAACAAGGTGTACCCCAGAGACCATCTTACTGGGGTGAGTCTGAGACCAAGGAGTGGCAGAGAAAGATAAGGGAAGACAAGGAGAAGATTGCCCGTGAGCAGGAGGCTAAACGGGCATGGCATTCGGAGGAGCTGCGGAGGATGGGCTGCTTCCTGGACCATGGCTTGAACCCCAAGGAGAGGGATCCCCGCTATGGGGGTGGACCGGAGATGAGGAGACCCTCCCCCTTCTGACTTCTGATGAAGAAGAGGGTGAATCATATGAACCTGAAAAGGTGTTGGTTGGACTGTGGGATTTGAAAGACATTAATCTGTTTGGTAACAGTTCATGGACGCCCTTGTGAGCTACGTTTCAGCCGCAAGAGAAGTTAGTTCAACATGTTGATGTTTCTACACACACTACACTTGATCTTAGCCAAAAGGCCGAGAAGCGAATTGATGTTTCTATACCTGTTCCAAAGTTAATAAATCAAGAACACTTGTTTGAAGTTAAACAGTCTCATGGTTTATTTGGGGAAAAGGAGAGCCTTATACCTGAACCTTCACAATTTTGGTTCTAGCACACACGTTTCTTCGAAAACATTGAACAACAGGATTATTTTCTATGAAATATACCTGCCATCTTATTACACCCTTGGTACAATGGCTTCTTCAATGGGCAGTCATCTCACTCTTAACAAATTTGCAAATGTGTCTTTCTATCTCTCAAATTCTGAAGCATCTGTCTCATTCAGCTCCAGAGAGCACTCAGAAAACATGGGCTTTTAAAATAAGCATCTTTGACAGATCTTTCAGCACACCTCTGTATACCACATTAGAGAAATCATATTGCTCATTTTCTTCCCATCTCGGAGCTTCCTGTATTACCTCATCGATGCCCACCATCATTCAGCAAGGCTCTGCTATCATATCCAATAATTTTTGACGTGCAAGAGGTGGATTCTGTTCCCCGGAAGGGTGCTATCAAAGTTATTCCAGCAGAAACAGAGCTAGCAGGGTTTCATTCATGCTTCTATGAAGTCCCCAAACAAGTGATGGCTTCTGCTCCATCTTGACCTCAAAAATATGAATTCATACATAACACAGAAGACATTTGGATCATGCCTAAATCTAGAAGACATTTGAATTATTATACTCAAATCCTGCCTTTCTTGCCCAACAGCTGATGACCTAGAAAATAACCTACCTTCAAAGTCCATTCACTGAACAGTATCTTCTTTTATTCTAGATATTCCTAGTGGTTCTGGATTCTCTCTTTCAGGTGAACCAGTGTCACAAGGCCTTTTGTGAAATTTAATTGTGCCAACCTGTCTCCATAAAATCATAATCTACTCCATCCTTAAAGGATTGCCTCCTTGTGACCCAGTAGTCCTCAAAGACTGCTTTGGTTGCTGCTTCAACTTTTCCATTGAACTTAAACTTGTATCTTGTTCCCACCTCTTGTATGCAATTCATTAGTGCTCATATAGTCCCCAGGAGGCCATACTATAATTCTGTTGAGAATTTAGGGATGGATTTGGAGTTTGTTATACAAACTAGTGATCAAATTACTTTTGGACGTCATGTGTAATGGTTCCGTTCTCAGATGAAGATGCTGCAGAATTTCTCTCCTGATCACTGACCATTGCCTTAGCTTTCCTGGAGCCTTCTCCTGACTGTGTATTTTTGAATTTATTTCTTTGCTGATAATTGCAGAAACATTACCTAATGATGGATTTTATTTAGACCTTTATTGGCATAGTTGATAAAAAGAAGTCTATCTTCTGGGCTAGAGAATCTATTATACTTCTCTCTGCATGAATATCATCTAGTTACTACTGGAATGCCAGCCCGACATCTGTGCTTATTGTTAGCAAGCTCATTTGGATATTGGATATTGGTTGGTTGTACTGTCACTAGTATTGTAAACAATATAGTGATGGCATTCTGTGCAAATGAATGGAAGAAATGTAATCCAGTATTATGATGAGGGTCAACCCGACATTGTGGAACTGTTGGAATCCCAAGGCAATCATCACAGTGGCTGCTTACTTCAGTGGAGTGGACAACAGCATTGTCAGTCAGTTGCGTAACATAGAATAGTGTTGCATAAATAGTAGCAGACTCCAGCTATTGTTTATCTTCTTTTCCTTTGTTGGGTTGATCAAATATTGACCTTTTAACATTCACCCAACAATAAACCATGTTTCCACTCCTGCAACAGATTGACTGCTTTGCAGCGATTCTTTAGCAATACATGTTTGTTTCAATGACAGATCAGGTGCTGTATGTCCCCTTTTCCATTCTAGAACCTATCAAAGTTTGCATTAGAACTTTGAAAGATACCACAAACATGGTACTCCCAATGCCATAGTGACTAAGGTAACTCCAGTCCTGTGTGGCATTATTTAGTTATTTAGTTATTGCCATTTCTATACCACACATTAGTGTTACCACTCTGAGCAGTTTACAATATACAATAAAAATATAACAACACTATATAATAAATCCAAAAATAAATGAAATACAATACAGCTTGTCACTACCTGAAACTACTTTTAAATAAAAATATACAAATTAAAACCCATTTGAACTTCACAGGACAAATTTACACTAATAGCAATCAGCTTTGTGTAATTCAGCCATAATTATGTATATTCTGTGTCATTAAATTGGAACCGACTTATAGTGACCCTAATAAGGCTTTCAAGGTAAGTAAGATAATTTAAGGAGTGGTTTTACCAGTTCCACTCCCCCAACAAGTTTCCATGGCCAAGTGGGGACTCAGACCCTATTCAGAGTCACTCTATCCACTACACCACATTGCGAATCCCAGCTATAATTCGCTTCCTTAAAACAGAGAGAGATGGTGCTTGGCAAACCTGTGTAGAAATGTTGTTCCAGAGTAATAGTTGCATAGAAATTTAGTAAGCTTTCAGTGTGTGTTTTCATGTTTGTTTCTTCAAATCTTTCACAGGGCTTTTTTAGGCGAACAATCAGACTAAAACTTGACTATGACAGATGTGATCGCAACTGCAAAATTCAGAAAAAGAATCGTAATAAGTGCCAGTACTGTCGTTTTCAAAAGTGCCTTTCAGTTGGAATGTCTCATAATGGTAGGTAAGAGTGAACATTTTTTTATTTAACTCAGCAGTGATCCAGATGGAGCTAATGATTCCCCTTGGATAGTTTTCTGTCTGTGAAGCTAGTGTGAAAATGCCCTTTAGTGCTAAAATAAAATTGAGTAAATCTGTACGTATTCATCCAGGGATGTTTCACTCTTTGTGCAAAAAATATAAAACTATATGCCATGATGTTCCTATTTTTGCACAAGAGCCCATGAAAATTTTTACAAAGGCAGAATATGAGAATTTTTTAACATAGCTGTGCCCGAACTCCTGCACAGACATTTGTTCAGTGTTGCTTTTCATTTGTTAATAACTCTTTGAATCTCTCCACATTAGAATATTTGACTATCAAAAGAGCAAAGGACTTGAAAATTACTTTTTCCTTGTTCAGCAGTTCTAGATCTTGCTACAGTAGAAAGCAGTAAAAGGAGACAAATTCTGGCCAGCATAAAAATTTTCACATATGTAACAGTCCAGTTAAAATTAACAGATACAATCACAGTGTTAAAAAACTCAACTATATTCTCTGTTTTTTCTTCCATAAGGTACTACCCTGTTCCCTGAAAATAATACCTAACCTGAAAATAAGCCCTAGTATGATTTTTTAGGATGCTCGTAATATAAGCCCTACCCAAAAAATAAGTCCCAGTTGAATGAAACCCCGGCCTCCACCATTGTGCATCAACCAGAAGAAGATGACAGGACTGTATTTGAATAAATGTAGCTTGCCGTACATGGAAAAAATAAGACATCCCCTGAAAATAAGACCTAGTACATTTTTGAGCAAAAAAGTAATATAAGACCCTGTCTTATTTTCGGGGAAACAGGGTATTATTTTTGTTCCCCTGGTTCTCATGGAAATTAAATAGAAGGGTGTTTCTATTTGAATGTTGAATTCTATTTCAAATTTGCTTAGATTTGTTCCCTTCACTACTTTATATTCTAGCTCAGAATGAATTTTACAGAAATAGCTCATTTTAATACTTACTTTTAGAATTGTTAGTCTTGAATTGGTCACAGTGTAATATTTCACCATTAGATTCCATTGTATGTTTGGGCTATCTGATACTAATTATATCTTTCCTTTAAAATTCCTGGAAGGACAAAGCAGACATATGTATCCTTCTGCAAGATACAGACGTTAATGCTATTACTATCCTGTATCTCATTTGCCCTATAACAACAATAACAATAATTCTGGAAAATTGTATAGCATTCTTAATCTTGTATCTGACCTGTTCCCAATTATATATTTTTATTATTTATTCATTTCTGTATCTTCACAGGACTTACACTGAGGCTGCAGCAGATAGCAAAACTAGAAATACGATACTTAGCATTTTCATATTGTCTAATGTCAAATTACTGTAATTTCACTGTGAAATGGAAATTTCTTTCCATCTCTTGATAACTAAATGAATTAGTTATTGAAAGAATTAAATAATCTTGAAAGACTCCTACAAGATTCTTGGGCTTCAGTTTTTTTGTTTTTTAGAATACTGGAGCAGTGGAGACCTAAAGATAAAGAACATTCCCTATATGTTTTGGGCCACTGCTATAGAAAAATGAGTTTGGCAAAGTTGCTTTTTCAGAGAGTAAAATCCCAGCCAATGGCCATGCTGGCTGAAGGATTTTGGAACTTACATTATAAAAAACAATTCTACCAAACTTTATAGGAATCACCTGTAGTGTACTTCAGATGTTTATGTAGAACTTAATGAAACAAACACCACAGTGTACCTAACCCACTTTTATTCAAGTCAGAACATTAAAGAGATGCCATAAGTATACAGAAGATACTATTCCACCTCACCCCTCTGGTGACTCCAATTGATCCAGCTTTGGCTCTTGTATCAATTGCTAGGTTTGATTCCAAAAAGTTTACCATTTTCATTAGATGGAAATGAAGAAATATGATTAGTCACCACTGACAGTCGGGAAGGATTAGGTCACACCAATGTTCAAATGCAGTAAGTCAACAGTATATCAAGCATAGTTATGTTTTGCTTGGTTTGGCTTCCTTGTGATGTCTAAAGTTTTAATACGTTAAAATCAAGAAAATAATAACGAGTTGACATTTTGACAAAGCAAAACAGTTTTAGATGCTGTGGCTGCCGGTGCGGGTTCAGTTTAGGCAGGTGGTTGTTCTGTTGTGGTGTGGCCCATTTTGGAGATGAACAACTCAATTTGACACCCACTTCTAAATTTTTAGTAATACAAGAAAAATATTTTGTGTAGGTTGAACACATTCTGTTAAGCCACCTTCTCTTCCTGTGCTTCATTGTAAGCTTCTCTTGTTACCTGACCCCCTGCCTGCATCTTAAGGTATTTCTCACTATGGAGATCAGTGTAGGTTGACATCTCTGGTGCCCCATCTGGTTCTGCCTTCCTACCAACAGATCTTTCTGTAGGATCCCTTCTAGGCCTTTCTAAATTTTTTTGTCTCTACCCCATACAACAATCCTCAGCAAACCCACAAATCTTTTTGTGCACCATGCCTCATCTGTCTTCATGCTGCACATCACTTTCCACTCTAATGTCATCGCCGTGTTTTTTCTTCCACACTCTCATCACTCCCTGTCTGTTCTTTATTCTGCCTCCTGTTGTGTTTCTGTCTTATGTGATCACTGGCTCTCTTTTTTCCGTCACTTAATCTGGCCACAGTTCTTCCAGTAATTCCTACTAGTCTTGGACGCAGCTGAGTCACTAAGCCTGTAAATAAGGACTGAAAAAAATGATACCAGTTCTTTCACCTTTAGTTCAAAGGAGACGATGACTAGTACAGATGTAATAATACAGAATTCTGAAGGATTTGATTAGAGCTTAAGCATTCCCACAAAGATGTGGGAAACAACCACAAACTGAGCATTCTGAGTTCAACAGGGAGTCATAGCTACAGGCAGAAAGTAAGCCATACAATACATGTAGTAATGTTCTGGTTCATTCCAATTAACACTGCTGGTGCTAGAATCCTGATATGATGGCACAATGACACTTAAAATCATACCCCAAAAAATGCTGTCGTTCCACTGTATATGTTTCACTTTCAATGCATGTCTTCTCTTCAGCAATTCGATTTGGACGGATGCCAAGATCAGAGAAAGCAAAGTTGAAAGCTGAAATTCTAATAAGTGAACACTGTATAGAAAATTCAGAAATTGCAGATCTTAAATCACTTGCCAAGAGAATCTATGAAGCGTATTTGAAAAACTTTAACATGAACAAGGTCAAAGCCAGACTCATTCTTGCTGGGAAAACCAATAACAATCCAGTAAGTATTTATTATTGTGGAATTTTTTAGAAAAAGGCAAGCTAAGCAGATGTAGACTAATGTGCATATAACAGAATATGTAAAGCTTCATTTATAATTGCAGTTTGCAAAGGCATATGGCTAATGAAAATAGAGAATACTGCTGTTGCTGCTACTACTACCTCCTGTCAATTCTTGAAATCTATCATTTTGTTTTCTATTATTCCCATCTTGAATATTCCATCTTATTGATTCAATTGTTTAATGTTATGATATCTTTATGCTTTTTATGATATTTTATGATATTTGTAAGCTGCCCCGAGTAGATGCTGCCTGGGGGAGGGGGGGTAGAAATCTAATGAATGAATGAATACATAAATACTAATATAATAACTGCAGTTTTAAAGGAATCTGTGTCCTTTCTACCCTGTTTGTCAAGAAGAGGAGAAGTGCCTCTTCTTGACAAACAAGGTGGACAAGGTTTCTTTTCTTTAACTATAGTTCCCAAATTCCAAACTACAGTATCATAAGCTATTTTTAATCAAGGAACAGCCCTGTTTATTTGCATTAATTATTTTCAAATTCATGCATCATCCTTAAAAAATTTCCCAAGGCAGTTTACAAAAATATTAAATCAGCAAGAGAACAAATGAAAATGTTTGTGTGTATGTAGTATAAAAGTAGTGCCGTATTTTACCATGTATACGACCCCCCAATGTATAAAACGACCCCCTAATTTTGACCCTTGATGGAGGCAGAGGAACAGTTAATGGGCAACTGCTCCTCCACCTCCATCTTCTGCTGCTGCTGCTGCTGTCTTCGCTGCCCGCCTGATTACCTCCTCCAGTGCGACTGCCGGGGCTCACCATCAGCTCACATGGCTGCCTTGTCCCCTGCCCTAAGGAGATCATGGGAGGAGGTGATCTGGCCATGCAGGAAGAGGCACCCCGAGCATGCGAGAGAGCTTGTTTGCCTCCACCTCTGCCTCCTCCTGCCTCCACCACTGGAGGGAACAAGGCAGTGACGTGAACTGAGCCCCGTCAGTCCCACAGGAGGTGGTGATCGGGCGGGCGGGGAAGGCAGCAGCAAGAGGTGCCCGAGCACGTGTGACTGCTCCTTCGCCTCTGCCTCCTGCTGCTTGAGGGCCACCGGAGGGGACAAGCCCTGAGCTCTGGAAGAGGCAACTGGGCAGCGGCAGTGGCAACAAGAGGTGCGTGCGTGCAACTGCTTCCTTCCATGTATAAAACAACACTCAAATTTTCCTCTAATTATTTTAGGAAAAAGTGTCATTTTATACACGGTAAAATATGGTATTTAAAACCAGTGTGCTTTAGGAAATTAAAAAACCCAGTTAAGTGCAATCATTCTAACAGTCCTGATCACAGATGATGATGGAAGTTTTCCTAGTGACTGGAATATGATCATATTTGACCATTTCAATTAATGGTGCTAGACAATAGGGCTGTAATGAGCCCACCAAATATTTTCCCTTACAAATTGACTTTTGAATCAGGTGGTGTGGACTGGATGTAAACATAAAAGAACAGGGGAATAGATTGCTGGATCTGTTAAAACATGTCTGTTTGCAAAAGACTTTGTACCAGTTTGGAGGTCACAATGAGCCAAGGTTCCAGGAAATCCTGACCAATGTGGATCAAATGGTGTATTGGCATATGCTTCCCAATTGTTCCTGCTTCGTTCTCAGCAAGCAGCGACTTCACAATCCTCACGTCCAAGGGGGATTTCTTTGGTGATATTTAAAACAAAGACTCTGGCTAGCCTCTCTGCAAAGAAGTTGTGTTTCAGATTATCACAGAAACCAACCAGGTATGAGAAGATCTGTGATTAGAAGCTGCCACTTGCAGTAGTAACTAAACAGTGCACAAGGCTTGATTTGTATAAAAATGTGCTGTTTATATACCGCTCCATAGCACTTCAAGCACTCTCTGGGCAGTTTACAAGTTAATTATGCAGGCCACACATTCCCCCCCCCGTGAGCTGGGTTCTCATTTTACCGACCTCGGAAGGATAGAAGGCTGAGTCAACCTTGAGCCGGCTACCTGGGATTGAACCCCGGGTCGTGAGCACAGTTTTGGCTGCAGTACAGCGGTTTCAACCACTGCGCCACGAGGCTCTTCTGAGTTTAAGCCAAAGTTTCTTGGTACTCTGGATTATCCTGATAACCAAACCAAGTTAATGTGTTTTTAAGTTCTGCTGAAGTGTTACACCTTAGCTTTTGACTTGTTCACACCACCAGGTCACCCTCCCATCAAGCATGTTTGCATTTAGATTCAGTTGGTTTGGTGTTAAAGCATTTGTGTCTTGAATAGAAAACAGTTTGACACTTCACCTCTTCATTCAATCAAAGATATCCAACAGCACACAGTCCCACGGAAGGAATTCAGTTTTTAAGAGATACTTGGCTGGTGTGTGTATGTGTATCTGTGTGAATTTAAGAGCGAGAGAGCATGTCTATGTGTAAATGTTTTGAAATAAACATTTTGATCTGCTTTTTTAAGTGATTGGACTAGCCTTTAAAAATCACTAAATGGAAGTTTTCTTCTCAAAGGCCAGTTTATGTTTAAAATAAATCACTTAAGTCTTGATGACAAATTGGTGCTTATTAATGAGGAGCAGGTTGCATTCCTGGGTGTGCAACTGATCATACAATCAGGTTTCACACTTAGGATGCAATGTGTAATTTATTAATGAGCAGCAATTTGTCATCAAAACTTGAGCAGTTTCCTTTACGCAAGCATAAATCAGCATTAAAATTCTGGTGAACTCGGTTTCACTTGTAATAATTATTTTATTTAAGAAGTTTAAGCCTAATGGTTTTCAAGGGAATTTTGGGCACTTGATATTGAGTGCAGACGTTGTTGCAAACATTGTAAAGAGAGATTATGATGTCTGCATATCTGCCCAAATGAGAACCATCAAAATCTCATTTTAAATGCTACTACTCTGCACTGTTCCTCTGTAGTAACTGCAGTACTTCAAAAGCAACACACACACCCCCGGATAATCTGCGGTTGATTTTACCATGTACAAGGTGGTAATCATAATAAATATCAGTTTCAAAGAAAGAGCCATGTTGGTCTATCTCAACCTGTTCATGAAAGAAACAAGGGAGGAAAACTTAAGCACTTTAAAGAGTTAACAATTTTATTTCAGCATGAGCTTTTGTGGATCAAAGTCTGAGGAAGTGGACTTTGATCCATGAGAGCTCCTGCTGAAATAAAACTGCTAAGCTTTAAAGGGTACTATATTTTTATTTTTCCATAACTATCATTTGGAAATAATAAGGAGCAAATCCAGTGAATTATTTTCATTCCTACCTTCAGCTGCATTAAATATTATGTTGTTGGATTTTAAAAAATGAAATACCACATTGTCCTCGTGACCTAACTAAGAAACTAATCAGGTGATGTATATGTACCATACAGTTGTGTATCGTAATACTGCAGCCAGACTGTTGGCTGGGGCTGTTTACCAGGATTAGGTGACATATATGTAAAATAAATCTGAACAGTTGCTTACCAACGGGTTCACTGACTGCTGATGGGCCCAGTTCAAAGTGCTGGTTGTGACCTTTAAAGTCCTTTGCAACTCAGGTCCAGGATGTCTGAAATATTGTTTCTTCCTAAACTTGCCATCATGAAAAATTAAGATCTTCAGGGAAGTGCTGTCTTTCAGTCCCACTGCTTTCACAAGCATATCTGGTTAGGACTTGAGAGAGGTTTCTGGCTGTGCCTCCTCCTACCAGCAAATGAAAATAAACCATTTTAGAGAGGAATTTGAGGACTCCACAGGCAAATGAGATGGGGATGTTCGTAAAAATCTCTTTTATAAATTAAAAATAATTAAGTATTTAAATAGTTGTAAATGTTTATATATTATAGTTTCAAATTTTAGTTGCTATGTCTTTAATTGTGTGTGTATGTCAATATTTTTAATGCTGTCTTGGGTCCCTGCTAGAGGTGATAGCTATTTTTGCTCATAAGTCTTTGGTGAACATTTTGGTAAAATTCATATATTACACCCTTGCTGGCAGATGAGAAGACTTGAGAAGGCGAGAGAGACTTTGACAGTTAATGGCATTACATGAAAATAATGTGTTTTCTCAATGTAGTAAGCTGAAGATAGTTATAAAGCCAACAACGCCCCTAATTGAGTTCAGTGTTAGAGGGAGCTTCTAGTATTGTACCTATCCCAGTTGTTCAATATGTTTTATATTGAATTATTTCATTATATTAATTGGGATGTTTTTCTTGAAAAAAATGGAAATGGAAAGTGGAATTGAAATAAAAATATTGTAGTAGATAATCTCCCATCCCATATTACTATCTGGTAATCATCTTTTGCAAGCAAAGCAGCTATCAGGAGCCCACCTATAATCTCCATTAACTTTTAAAATTTTTAGGTTGTTGTGGCAGAGCTAAGATGAATGCATCAAGATTCACATTCAGTGAATCATTTTAACACACAGGAATACATAAATTGAGTGATTCACAGTTGAAAACACTCCACTGCACAATCAAGTTTATAATATTTTAGCGTGTTCATATGGATTTGGCATAGCATTCCTGTGGATTCAAAGTGGACAGTTTATCCCTTTAATATAAGGCATAGACCGATTGATTGATCAACTGATTGATAGATATAGATAGATATAAATGATTCAGCACATTTTTAATTGTCTAAAATTTTTTTTCACTTCCTCTGACCTTCTGCCAAGAAACAGAGGAAATGTTTAATTTGCCAATATCCTTATTAAGCCGCTTCATGATATGGGGCATTCCCACCAGAAGGAGCCTTAGCAGCCAGAAGGCTTGGTTTTGGTCTATTTTCCTGTGATTACACATGCTGGAAATGAACCAAACCAGAGTGACCCTGCTCACACCACAAACCCCTCACAGGGGTTCAGAAAATTGTGGATAGGGATGCACTGGGGACATTTTGGTTTGCTCCAGCGATTATATCATGTGATTTCTGGAAAAAGGAGCAAACCATCCCATCCTTGCAGTGTACCAAACAGCAGGCCCATTTATCAGATTCAAAGACAATTTTTTTAAATCATAACCTTTTTTTCTTGAACAAAAACTTCATGGGCCCTTGAAAATCAGCTATTTGAAGTTGCAGTATATTTTGCAAACAGTGTCAGGAAGTGTGTTGGTTGCTGCCTGTGGAAGTTTAGTCTTTCCTTTAATCATGAAGAAACTGCTGATTTCTTAGTGACTAAAGGAACAATTTAAGATCGAAGTATAATTGTTACTCAGTAGACATAAAGTAACTGTAAGCAGATACAGTATATCTGTGGATCTTTCATCTTTCCCATCTTCATTACCACTTTCAAAATAGTAAATATTCTAGGAGAAAAATTTTTACAAGCTGCAATATCCATGGATATTTTTGGGGGGAGGGAAGACTGTGTTTGCCCTTCCACTCCAGAATCCTAAATTTGATATTTCTTTAAATATAGATTAAACACATACACTCCAACTATAGAGAAGGAATTGTGTAGCTAGGGTTATCATGAGACCAGAGAGATCAGGGCTCCTTGCACACACACATACAATTTATTTCAGTGGATTCCTTTGGTAATCAACTTAAGTAAAAGTTTTTAGGAAGAAATTTGATACGTTGTATTTTTGCTGTTAGTATAAATGTATTTTATATTGAATATTTACTCATTTTATAATGAATATTTACTCTAATATCTCTTTGTAGCCATTTGTTATACATGATATGGATACATTGTGTATGGCAGAGAAGACACTCGTGGCAAAATTAGTAGCCAATGGAATACAAAACAAAGAAGCAGAAGTTCGAATCTTCCACTGTTGCCAGTGTACCTCAGTTGAGGCTGTAACAGAACTTACTGAATTTGCCAAATCTATCCCTGGCTTCTCTAACCTAGACTTGAATGACCAAGTGACTCTGTTAAAATATGGGGTTTATGAAGCCATGTTTGCCATGTTGGCCTCTGTGATGAACAAAGATGGGATGCTAGTAGCTTATGGAAATGGCTTTATAACTCGAGAATTCCTCAAAAGTCTACGGAAGCCGTTTTGTGATATTATGGAACCGAAGTTTGATTTTGCAATGAAATTCAATTCATTGGAGCTCGATGATAGTGACATATCTCTTTTTGTGGCTGCTATAATTTGTTGTGGAGGTAAGAGTAAAGCTACCATTTTCTAAATGGAAATCTCTTTTATATGCATGTCTCTTCTGTTAAGAGTTATGATTATTTATTCATATGCCACCTTTGTAAAACAGTACTTCAGGTGGCTAATTATAGCAGTAAAATAATAGCTTAATCATTCATTCAATCTTTATTACGGTCCTGGACCAGCGTAATGAGGATGGGGTACAAGCAGTTGATATGCCCATTACAAACTCAATTTAAGCCATAACCCAATTTGAACATCATTCTAAAATTTAGCAAGTAACCTTACATTGATTCTAATAAAACTAAAATATAAGAATCCAGGGGGCAGTGAATAGAAAAGAGGAGAAAAGAAGAGGATTCTACAGGGTTAAATAAGTATTGTGACTCTTAAAAGTTAAGTGTATCTGTAAATAAAAGGTACAATCATAAAAGGAATTATAGACACACACACACACACACATATACACATATACATATATACATATATATATACACACACACACACGTGTATGTGTGTGCGTGTGTGTGTATGTATATGTAAATGTATATGTATGTATATATATAAAATGGCATTAATCCAGCATTAAAAGACATAAAATTAAACATACAGTAAATACTAGTTTATGATGCCAGTCAACACCCGGTGAATTTTACTCACTGCTGCACAGAACCTAGCAACATATGTTGAAACAGAGTTAATATCTGACATCAACAAGGAGGTATAAAATTGACCTGAGCATCCTGGATATTTATGGACTATTGGTAAAATGAGATTAGTTTGAATATCTCTATAAAACAAACATCGAAGAAGCATGTGTTCTGTTGATTCTATGTGGCCAGAATCACAGGGGCATTGTCTCTCCAAGTAGGGAATCCTCTGATATTGGCTCTCAAGGACAGCTGAGGGGAGAGTATGACATCTTGCCAGGGTAAAGGTCCTCTGATGGTTTAGTATCTCAAGTTTAGATAAATATATCATAGGGGAGGCAAGATGCCTGCTGGATTTGTTGATAATAAAAGTTGGAGATCTGGCTAAATCCAGTTGTTGCTCTGTGTCTATTATCCGCTGTTTACTGAGCGCTTTGGCCTGATCATATCCCATGCTGAGTAGGAGACCGGGGGAAAACTCAGGGATGAAATTTTTGATACCACAGGCCTTTTCCCGGTGGACTTAAAATAACCTCTTAAAGTTAGTGGGGCAAGGCTCAAAGGGTGAAGAGATAATCTAAGCCAATAATTAAGGATGACCACCCACACCCTGGCCTCCATTTTCATAGGGCCCAGTTCTAGTCTTAGAGTGGCATTAGAGACACATTTTGGAACTTGTAGGGCCGATCTTATAAATTTGGATTGCACAAGTTCTAGTGGTGCAAAATTGGAAAGGGGGCCTAACTGTAATAGTTTAATCAAACAACAGGACAACCAATAAAAAGAACAAATACAAACTAAAGATAACAAAGAAGAAATTTGGAGAAGCTCGGGAAATTGAAACTTCAGAATATTTTTTATATTTCTCAGAGTACTATATTATACAAAACTAATTATTTGATTTCTGTCATTCATCATAGTATGGATTTTATCTCTGTGCTTGTAGAAATCTTCCTTTTGTATCTGTTTTGAAATAAGAGAATAAAATAAGAGTAGTTGTAAACAACAAGGTAAAGCACTTAACAAGTTTTAAATAATATATTTAAATAAAAACCTGCTTTAAGTTTGTGCTGGTCTGAATGTTAACATGAAAAACTGTTTCCCATGTTCTGCACTGCTAAAACTGCACTGCATGGATTATCAGAATTATAGCCTGGGAGAAGAAATTGTCATATGATAGTGAATTGGGTAATAGAGAGTATGATTTCAATGTTTTCTTTTCAAAATCCAACTAGACTAAATGTGCTTCCTATACTGATCTACTCTGAGGTAGCACTGCAGCTAAACGTGTGTAGAATGATTTGATTGCATAGTGGCCACATCTCAACAGTTTCCTTTAAATATATATATATAATGTTTGATTCAGTACGTGGGAATCTGTGGCCCTCTATGTTTTGTTGCATCATAAATCCCACCATCGCTAACCACAGGTCATGCTGGCTAGAGCCAGTGGGAGCTGGAGTCCAATGACATTTAGAAGGCCCTTGATCCCTTGCCCCTGATTTTATCAGCCTAAAGTGAAGCTGACTGGTAGTTAGATCGATGAAACAAATTAAATAGTATTTTATAATTGACCCCTTTTATAGTTTTGGTTCCTTTTTAAAGCTGATTATGATTTAATTGCTTTATGTATATTCTGTGATGAACCTTTCAGTTCATTTCATAGTTGGGTAGCACTTAGTAAAATTACTAAAATAGATACCATGCTTTTACAGCTGTCCGGAGATTTTGTTGCTGATACTTTTTGATCATACCCATGCTGAAAATTTTCTAACTCATACTGAGGCCAGTGGGAGAGTTAAGCAAGTGCTCAGGTCTCCTTTGAAGTGAGACTGAAGTGCCCTTCATGGAGAAACTTCTCTGTCTTAAGATAGGACTTAGAGCTGCTTATGGCAGCTTTTGCGGTCAAATACTTTTCTATTCCAATGGGGTTTACAATGCAGTAGATTAAAGGGCTGTGAGAAACAAGTGGAAAATTAATTTGATTTCAATAATATGGGTCCTAAATAATTCTTGCCGTGATGAAGAGAATCATTAGAATTATTTAGGGCCTATATTACTTACATTAATTGATTTAAAAATAAGTCAGCAATAAATGGCTTGTTCAGTGTCAAAATTTATTACAGCCAAATGAACAAAGAAGGTAGTAATATAATTGAGAGGAGAAACTGTTAAAATACTTCCACAAGTCACATACTATGTTTTAAAAAATCTTATTCAATAGGATAGTGCAGTATTTTCTGAAATATTGTATAGTTTAGTATGTAGTATAGTACTGAGGATACAGGTTTTATGAGTCAACAGAAGAGTTTTCATTATGCTCTTAAGCACAGATCATTCCCTCCAGTGGAGTGGAGTATTAATCTGTTGCAATAAAAAGATACATTTATTCCTAGATGTTGACAGCTATCAATAACACGATGTATGTTTCTGTTTTTGAAAATAGATCGCCCTGGCCTTGTAAACATAGGACACATTGAAAAGATGCAGGAGAGCATTGTGCATGTACTTAAACTGCACCTGCAAAGCAACCACCCGGATGACATCTTCCTTTTCCCAAAACTTCTACAAAAAATGGCAGACCTCCGACAGCTTGTCACAGAGCATGCTCAGCTTGTTCAGATAATCAAAAAGACTGAATCTGATGCACACTTACACCCTTTGCTACAAGAAATCTACAAAGATATGTACTAGGGTTCTTTCATTTCTGTATGATATGTAAAGAGAAGAGCAATAGTAATAGATGGGAGCAAATTACTTTGCACACTTTTCTCAGCTGTGCTTTAATCGCAAAGCATCACTAAGCTTAAAAATATAGATAACTGGAATATCACATTTGTCATGCCAGGCCTTATTTTGATGTACTGAATATAAATTGTACAATATTTATGGATACAGTAATAATCTGTGATTCACTTGAAATTTTGGTGGCAGCAGGGAGAATTTAGTTATGTGACAAATGATCATACTAAAATGCTGGTTCTGAAGTTTCTGATTTTTAAGCACTCACTTTTTCATCTTCATTTCCGTGAAAAAGCTAGACATTTGGGCCAGGATTCAAAGGTCACAAAAAGGACTTCAGTTTGTTTTCTCACATGATATAGGGCAAATTATATTTGAAATCCACAAAAGTTAGAAAACCAGATTGGGATGTGGCATGAAGAAGGCAAAATGGTCTGCTTTTGGAAGAACAGAAAATCTATGTACTACTGATTGCACCCAGTCCTTTAGATGCATCTAAGATACTTGTACAAATTCTAGCTTCTTTTTCAGAAACATATCCATGTCACAGTAGATTGATCTCCACAGATGAGGAACATTTTAAAAAGTCTCTCTTCCTAGGCAGTGACATTTGTGTCACATGAGCTATATATCATGAAGAACCCTGTGTGAGTTCTTAAGGGCTTTGCATGCCAATGGAATTAGATTTGAAAAAAGAGTGAGGAAAAAATGCTTCCTTCTCCATTACATATAACAACTGGCCAGTTTCTAAAATCAATTTTCTATGCAAGATAGATGACCACAAACCTAATGATCCCATAATTTTGCAGAACTGGAGGATGATTCATTGTGGTCTGGATTTTGATCTCAGACAGAGTTTGCATTCCTAAATACAGTTGCCTTAATCCTAAATTCAATATGATTTTTGCCTGATAAAGACTTACAGAGAATTTGAAAGTTTGCCTTATTTTGTAACTTTAAAGTATTACTCAATCCAGAACTTTATGTCTATAAAGGGCTGTGGGCAGATTTGATTTTAGCCATTATTTATTGGCAGAATAAATCAAAGAGGTAGCACTAGTTTATAAAAGCAACTTGGTGAATATTATTCCATACTGTTTACATTGACATGAGGAAAAGCTTGGGGCACTGGACACTGTTCCTCTACAATATTTTCTTGACTATCTAGTTTGGAAAACTAGATTAGGTTTAGATGAAGGAGGAGTGAAAATGGGTGAAAGAAATGTCAATAAGTTAAGATACACAGATGATGTCATATTACAGGCAGAAAGCAGCAATGACTTGAAACAACTCCCAGTACAGTGGTGCCTCGCATTATGATCTTAATTCGTTCCAGCGAAATTGCTGTAGAACGAAAATATCGTAAAGCGAAATTTAAAAGCCCATAGAAACGCATTAAAAATGTGTTCCTATGGGTTTGAAACTCACCGTCTAGCGAAGATCCTCCATAGCGTGGCCATTTTCACTGCCCGTGCAGCGAGAAATCCGTCCCAGAAAAGAGCGGGGAGCCATTTTATTACCCGGCGGCCATTTTGAAACAGCCGATCAGCTGTAGGAAAATCGTCGTTTTGCGAGAATCAGTTCCCGAAGCAGGGAACCGATCATCGCAAAGCGAAATTCCCCCATAGGAAACATCATTTTGTGATCGCTTTTGCGATTTCGTAATAAAACGGAGCGCTCGTCTTGTGAGGCACCACTGTACAGTTAAAAAAAAGAAAGTATAAAAGCAGGATTGCAGGTGAAGATAAAAATCATGACTACTGAAGAACTAAACTTCAATGCTGACAATAAAGAAACTGAAATGGTTAAAGATTTAGTATATCTTGGTTCAACCATCGGTCCAAATGAAGGATGCAACCAAGGCTTGGAAGGGCTTGAGGGAGCTAGAAAAGACCATGAAATGAAAGGACATGTCACTGAAGACGAAGGCTAAGGTCATCCGTGCTATTCTCAGTTAATATGTACAGACATGAAAGCTGGACAGTGAAAAAGCCAATGGGGAAAAAATATTCATTCAAAATTTGGTATTGAAGGAGAACGGATCACCAAAAGACAAATAAATGGGTCCTGGATCAAACCAAACCTGAACTCTCTGTAGAAGCAAAAATGACTAAAATGAGCCTATCATATTTTGGGCATATAATAATACAGTGGGGTCTTGACTTGAGAACTTAATCCGTATTGGAAGGCGGTTCTCAAGTCAAAAAGTCTGTAAGTCAAGTCTCCATTGACCTACAGTGCATTGAAAACCGATTAATCCCGTAACAGGCCGTTTTTGTTCCATTTTGGTTTTTTTCTGGTCTGTAAGTCAAATCTCAGTCTGCAAGTCAAACCTAAATTTTGCAGCCAGAGAAGTCTGTAACTCAAAAAGTCTGTAAGTCAAGCTGTCTGTAAGTCAAGGGTCCACTGTAAGACAAGAGTCACTGGAAAAGACAGTAATGTCTGGAAAAGGTGATGGCAGTAAGACAAACACTGGGTACGAGATGGAGTGACTTAATAAAGGAAAGTAAGACTTCAACTTTACAAAAGATGAGCTGCTAATGACAGACCCCTTTGGAGGTCGCTCATTGTCTGCAGTGACTTGATAGTGCATAAGAAAAACAAAAAATCTGGATGGCAGCCCATGTCTTTCTGGTATTTTTAATTAGGTATTCATTTGGGCTACAGGTACATCCAAATAAGACCAAGCATTAAAGCATGCTACCACATAAGCTGTTTGCAGTGGTTCCCAACCTTGGGCAACTAAGGTTCTTGGGCTGAAGCCCCTAGAAACCCTGGCCAGCACAGCCAGTGCTGTGAAAGTGCTGAAGGCTTCTGGGAACTGCAGTCCAAGAACACCTAGGTTACACAAGGGAACCACTGCTGTAGATTAAAACTATTTTGATCGTATTTCCCTTTCTTAGTATCTTGTGAGTTCAGCTCTGAATGACAAGGGTGTCAAATAGAATTGTTAGTAGTCATCATCTATCAGTTACCAAGCTTCTTTGAAAGAAGCTGCATGTTTTAAGCTGCTGTAAAGTATGGTTGAAACATAAATATACCCATAAACACCATATCAGATAGATGCATTGATAACTTCCCAAACTGCTGATTTGTAGGTACATGTAAAAAGCTCACATATCCATGTAAACTGCAATATTTGAAGTGCCTGCATGTTGGTCATGTGCTTTTCTAAAACTCCAGTGTATGTTGCAAGTATACAGAGATGTTGTTTTCAAAGACATTTACTTTCTTAAAATACAATTGTAGAGGTGTACATTGCAATTAGTAGCATGTACATATGTGCCAAAAATGTAATTTTTGAAATCCTGTATCTTTTTTAAGGACAGTTTTGCCAAAAAAACAAACAAACAAACAAACAAACTATGCAATTGTCTCTTCTGAATACCAGTCCCCAAAAGGATAGTAGTCTTTGTAGCATGTTTTATAAGCTCACAGTTCGAGCTCTTACCGATTGTAAGGCAGTCCCCCATGATTTTGTATAAACCTTACAGCTTCATTGGCTTATAATCAAGGAGGTTTTATCTTGCTGCATATTATAATAAGCCGTGTATAGGGTGTCCAAGGTACAGCGGTGCCTTGCTTTACGATTGCCCCACATTACGACGAATCTGCTTCAGAACAATCTTTTTGCAATCACAATTGAGATAGCAAAATGATGATCTAAATGGGGGAATTTCGCTTTGCGATGATCGGTTCCCTGCTTCGGGAACCGATTCTTCGCAAAACTATGTTTTACTAACAGCTGATCGGGGGTTTCAAAATGGCCACTGGGTAATTAAAATGGCTCCCCGCTGTGTTTAGGGACAGATTCCTCGCTATACAGGCAATGAAAATGGCCGCTGTATGGAGGATCTTTGCTGGACAGTGAGTTTTTACCCCATTGGAATGCATTGAATGGGTTTCAATGCGTTTCAATTGGGTTTTTAAATTTGCTTTACGATGTTTTCGCTTAACGGTGATTTTCCTGGAATGGATTATCGTCGTTAAGTGAGGCACCACTGTACTGGTAATTATTTATAAATGGAAAGTGAATGATTTGTACTGAAGGACCCAAATAGTGCCCCCCCCCTCTGTCATTACCCACATATTCCTATCCAATTTATGGAGTGGTAATCCTGTACTACCAAAGATAGACTTTTGCTCTATAAATCCCCTGTTTGACAAATCAGAAGCTTTTTATAATTGATTTAATATGGTTAAGGCAAAGTACTTGAACGCTCATTCTGAAAATGGTTGATTCAATGTACTTGAATGGCTACTTTCCTTGTGGGAATTTTTTTAGACTGCAGATGAAATGGACAGGTTGTATTTCATCAAATTTATATCACATTGTATTTAAATATTGAAACAGTGATATTGTTTTCTAATTGACCAATCTCTCTAGCACCACACTGTTTCCATTATGTGCCATTCTCTGAATTGGCCATATTTATAATCAAGAGTAATGTAAAATGTTATGAAATAATTAGTTTCAGGATGTACATGTATTCTATTTTGGTTTCAATCCAATATTTCACTGGCAACTACTAAGAATTCTAAGTGCAAACAGAATTGGGAGAGCTCGCAGACAGTTAAATGGTGTATTAGTGGGTTTTAGTGAGAACGCTGCCTAAAAGTGCACAAGAAAACTGTTTGCACTTTTATTAAAAATACTCAGGACTAGGGCAATAATCAGTAAGTTGAAAAAAAGTTTGTTTCTCAAAAATGAAATTAGCTACCTCCATGAATTATGAAGTTAAAAAAGGAACGTGCAAATTAGGCTACTCAATAAATCAGTAATTTAGATATGGGAAACCTCAGGATGGCAGATCCAAGGGAAGTGGAAAAAGCTTTCATTCTGACTTTCACTATGCAATATAATAAATTCTTTAGATCAACTATAGAAAACTTTTTTTATTTTTGCACACACGTATCTTGATTGCATTGTTTCTGTCTCTTTGATCTCTGACACTTTCTAATATCTCATATCCTTAGTCTTCTGATAATTATTTCTGTATAATGTGAGGGATGTAAGTGGAGGGCATCTACGTATATTGCCAGGACACTGGTAAGTGCAGTCCATGTCAGTGGGCTCTCCTGGATAAGGACTGCTTCCTTCCCAGAACTTTTGTTTAGTAAGGAAGATATAGAATTACCCAATCTTTATCATTTTGAATTCTATCTCCTTGTGAAACCACAAAGCATAACATTTTTCAGACTACAGCAAAAGAAAAAAGTTCTACTATACAAGTGGCTAATCTCTCTTTCTGATACCAGGTTGTAAAATCTAACAAAAATATTTCCAAAAAATTGTCACACCTTCCCCCTTATTATTTATCTTTATTTATTATTCCTAATAGGGATACCCAGTGTGTTGTAGTGTACAGAGTGACAGACCTGGGACTCAAGAGACCTGGGTTCGAATCCCCACTCAGCCATAGAAGCTCGTGGGGGGGGGTATAGCGCTGGTAAAACCACTTCTTAGATATCTGATTTATCTTGAAAACCCTATTAGGGTTCTGACTTCATGGCACATAACAAAACATCCTCCCTAATGCAAACAATAACACTTTGTCATTATGTAAAACCATACATAGTGGCTGTAATTCAGTAGTAAGTCACAACTAGAGTAGACCAACTGAATCAGTGAGGATTTGATGAGTCACCTCTAAGTTATATTGATGCAATGGGCCTCCTCTAGTCATGACTTGCTACTGAATTTCAGCCACAGTGGCATTGTTGTCTCTGTATAGTCACCACACTTTTTCAGGCAAATTTAGTCTGTTGTTCTGGAGGATAAAAATATACTCTTGTACTTCCAAATCCCACAAAGATGTTTTTGCACTGGCTGGCAATCTAGATAATTTCTGTCTGTGTATTCACAGATATTTTAAGCCATAGGAGATTATGTGGCAGATGCGGTGGAGGTGAATACTCTTAATTCCTCCTGTCGACTCAAAAGCGGGCATGCCTGCCACATACTGAATCCATTTTGTAGAACAGCCACCAAGTGAAGTGGATGAAGCCGTACCTCAGGTTCTCTGGGCAGCAGCAGTATTGTATTAGGTTGCCACCTGCTTTTAGCTTGCAGGCTTGCTTTCTTGCGTTTACAAGAAGTAGGAAGCATTCTGAACTGTAACTGAGTAGCAAAGCTTTTTAGTCTCATTTCTATCCATTATTGGCCTGTGGTTTGTTGAACTTTTTTCCTCTTACAACACTTAGCACTTTGGAAAGAAATTATGTAATTTTAACACATAGATTGGGCCAGGGAGCAACTTCCTCTTTTTGTTTTTGTTTTCACTACCTGGCAAGGCTTCTTCATGT